AATGGCTCATCAATCTTGTTTTTCTTTTCAAAAAAGACACCCCAGGAGGACGGTGAAGGATCCATCTCTAGAGAACCTTTGGTCCCAGCAAAACAGAGGACTGGCATATGGGAGGCCCAGGTCTCCGCCCACTCACCTTAGAACAGAATCAACTAGTCCACCAGCCAACCAGGCTGACAGATGCGAGTCAGCATTTGAACTGTTAATGAACACAGTTGTTTCTGTTCCTTAGAAAAGTGTTCTTGTACCCGACTGGTGTGGCTCAGCAGGTGAGTGTCAGCCTAGGAACCAAGAGGTCCCTGGATTGATCCCTGAGCAGGGCACATGCCCACGTTGCTGGTCCAATCCCCAGTAGGGGGCGTGCAGGAGGCAGCTGATCAATGATGTTCCTCTCTCTCTCCTTGATGTTTCTATCTCTCTATCTCTCTCCCTTCCTCTCTCTAAGTGTACTTGTGTATGGTGGCAATTTATAGAGAAACCAGCCCAAAACTTAGTGATTTCCTCTTACACATGAAGAAAACTGTTGGGGCTGACCAGGATAGCATTTAGTTGGAAAGTTAGAAACCAAAGTAAAAACAAATGAAAAAAAAAGTTATTCAAACCTATTCAGCTGGCAATGATGAGAAATAGAAGTTTGACAAAGTTTTCAGGGAGGTAGGAGAAGACACTGCATTTATGAAACAAGGATTACATACTGTTTTCTTCTTATAGCAGATAATAACCAAGTGCCTTTGGACATTAAAAATATAACAAATTAGTCCAGGCCAGTGTTTAGAACAATGGTTAGAACAGTGGCCCACCCATCTAAGGGTCACCGGTTGGATTCCCAGTACAGGTTCCATGTGTGGGAGGCAACCAATCAATGTGTCTCTCTCACCTCCATGTTTGTCTCTGTCTCTCCCCCTCCCTTCCACTCTATCTAAAAATCAATGGGAAAAAAAAAATACAGAAACTGATTAACAAAAATAGATCCAGAGACAAAGTAACTCTGAACAGACTGTTCAATCTCAGAGAGAAGGCAGAGGAGAGGGGTGTTAAAGATCGACCAAAGGATTTGTATGCGTGCACATAAGCATAACCAAGGGACACCGACACTGGGGCGGTGTGGGCTTATCCTGGGGGTGGGAGGGGCCGGGGAGGGTCAATCGGGGAAAAGGGCAAAGCTGCCTCGCCGCACTCAGACTAGTTCTAACATTGTGAGCAGATGGTTTGGGTGTTCCGTGTAGAGCGCCATGTTGCTCCTGGTGGTCTCCTCTCCTCCTCCCTGGTCCTCACACCTTTTGTGTATTTCTGATGGCTGTGTGCTGCCTGGAGTCACCTGCACTGTCTGGGCCTCCCTGTCCATCATCCCTCATTCAGGGGCGGGGTTTCCAGAGCGTCCCCCTTCCCCCTTCTGCCCCTTCACCAGAAGCAGGATGTTTCCTGTGGGCTCTGGGAAAAGTCACCCTTAGCTAATTTAGGAAGTCACCTTTGGCCAAAGTTTGCTAAGAGTTTTATCACAAACTGTGGTTGAATTTATCAGTCAAAAAATGTATTTTTCCATATCTATTAGGGTTATCAGATGGTTTTTACCATTTATTTCTGCTCTGTTAATGTGGTAAATTGCACTAATTGGTGTTCAACCACGGTGGTTTAGACGTTACTGGGTTATTTGGTAATTATGTTACACATTGGGAGTTGGATTGATAATGTTTTACTTTGGGTTTTTTCAATCTATGTTCATAATGGAAATTGGCCTGAAATTGTCCTTTATTCTATGGGCCTAGTTTTGTTCTCCAGAAAGTGTGCCCGGGAGCTGCCTCTCTTGCTGTCCCTGGAAGATCGCTGGGGCCTTGAAGTCTTAGTGTAATTCTCCAGGGAGCCAGGCTGTGGGTAACTCC